ACAAACAGCTGATCATCAGCTGGTCGGCAGAGCGCGGCAGCCATTTAAATTTAAATGAAGCCGCGATTATTTAAATCGCGGCTTCATTTCCCTCTGCCGATCAGCCTAATCTACATGGCTCCATCGACGGAGCCATGTAGTTTAGACACACCCTCTGAGTTTTGCTGGGGTGTCTTTCAGATGAGACCTGAAATGCAGAACTCATGGCAAATGCAAGCTCCATGGAAATTTTCCAGGCGGTAGGTATAAGACTGAGGTGAGCTAAGGAGGGGTCAAAGTTAAGGTTATTTGTGGAACCTTCACTCTAAATTTTTCTTTCGAATATTCAGCTTTTGTGAATAAAAATACAACAAGCTTCTTTTTGTATAAAGGATATGAGAGAGAGAGAGAGCGAGCCAATCTTTTCTTTACTGGAACAGTTTTTGTTTAGGAATTTCCTTTATTTCTTGAATGTTAATTATCATGATGGCAACATGGGGAATATGTTATCCTCTCAGCTATGGTGTCATTAACACAGCTTCATAACCTGTCCACAAACACTCCTCGGGACTGACATGCTGTATTCGATACTTATATCACTCTGCCCCCTGCTGGTCATTTCGCCTTCTCATTCACTCCCAGATAGACTGTGTTATCTATCTGAACCCTTTGCAAAATAGACATGTATTTGAAGGGTAAGTGCCAAAGAAGACACCTCAGACCATCTCACTCCTACTGTCCTGGCTTTCCTGTGACTTTGGCCTGACATACTCATTGCCCCAACATACTGCGTCCTTCTTTGCATCTAAAACGTGTCATGGAAGGTAACGTATGTAAACTGGTGACAGGCTGGTCCCAAAGGTCACCACATGAGGAATGCATGTCCAGGGATGCACAAAGAGTTATCAGTGGATGCTTGGAAATGTATTTGAGAGGCAGTGGGTAAATTCAGCCTTCCTTAGATAATGGAATGAGCATTTGCCCATGTGACAAGCTTAGTTACCAGCAGAAAACAATGCAAGTGTATTTACATATAAAGTAAACAAAACCATCAAGGTGAGGAGAAGATCATTTAACAATCAGGCAGGGAACAGAAACCCCAGGAAGCCTTCCTAGCTCTCAAGTCTGAGACAATGGACTCTGTAATATAAGGGGGGCACAGAGACCTTTTCGGTGATCCATTACTGAGGGGATCCAGGGTACAGTACCCTTCCAGGCTGTGAAAGTTGGATCCCATAGCGTGCAGGGCTAGGGATGCCGTAACTTGATATATGAAGGAAAACGGCATAGAAACAGATTGCAAAGTGTGCATTTTGTTTTGTTTGGAACCACCAATCTTTCCTTCTTTCGCTTAACAGCATTTGAATCTATGTTCTTTGTTAATAAATCTATGCACATTTTATTAATAAGACATCTCAGTGCTGTGTGGACTAAAGAAAAGTGTGAGTCTCCAGTTACCCGTACAGGCTGGCATGTGGTCTATCTCCGTGGTAGTTGTCCAGTGAGAAGGACCAGGTGCTACTGAGAGAAGGCTCTGTAGAACAGGTTCACTGGATGTTACCTGCAAGGCCAGGCTTTGACTGGTAGAGTCCAGAAGAGTTTGCTAACCAGACAGATAAGCTGGCGTGTCAGGGAGATGACACACATGGCTTGGCAGCAGCAAAGCTCTCGCTCTTGCTGAAGCAGGGGGGTAACACAGTGGCTCACGGTTCTAAATGTCATGAGCACAGCATCACGATTTCTGTCTTACTACTCAACCCACTTTCTAAAGTGTGGGAGAGGTTTTTGCTGCAGCAATTTGGACACTCAAAAGTTTAAAAAATGAGGGAATATAAGGAGGTTCCAACAGGAGGAATATCGGCCGTCGAGACGGGAAGTGATCATTGAGACTGTGCTAGGGAATAAAACCCTTGTTATTGAGTTATGTATAATGAGGAGCGGAGTGGTCCATGGAGTGGTCCATGGAGCTCTGAATAGATGTCACAAGTGATCCCCACAGCCTCACGGACATTTAAAGGCTAATAGCCCAGTAAGTCCCAACTGAGCATCATTTTCATTTTAAAAATGGCACGACTCACACCAGAAACTGCCTCAGGTGCTCCCCACCTCAAACAGTGAACACCACTCCACAGCTTCATCCCATACAGCCATCCCCATTACTCACACAATCCACCACCATCTTGCCCAGCTCTTTGACCCCAAAGACAGTCTTGGCAAACTCCCAGGGGTTGGAGGGGCGGAAGATATCCACAGAACTCACTGGGATCTTCGGTGGCATCCCTGTCCCCAAGGAGACCACCACTCCCAATTTCCTCACTTTCTGGCTCTGCCCCTTTGGAGAGTGGAGAAACAAATATTTGTTAGCATGAATCACAATGTTACCCTCCCCATAAATACACACACAAGATTTTTGTGGGGGTGGGGAGTCAGGATGTTTAATCCGGATTAATCAATTACCCCAATTGCCCAGATCCTTGAGCTGATGATAATACTGGGGGACTGTCGGACTGAGGAGACTGAGGGTTACGTAAAATCTCCCCGCAGCCCGCACTCCTCCTGCACAATCTCTCAGACACACCTGCCTCTCCCATCCTGAACCACAATGCTCTCCATTCCTCCCCTCTAAATCTTCAGTGCGAATCCAGCCCCATGTCAGATGTGACTGCCAGTCATCAACCTCTGCTCAATATTCCATGTGGAAATAACTGGGGGGGGGAGGGGGAGGATTCTCAGCCTCAAGCCTCAAGCAAAGTGGCCAGCACACACAAAGCCATCACCACAATTAACACCTATCTGGTGCCTCCCCAGAGAGGCCAAGAACTGAAAGAGTCTCAGACCCAGAATGAGCTGATCCTCCTACAGCAGCCAGGTTGGAGCACTGTACTGGGGAGAGGCAGGGAGCTGGCAGTGCTGTTGTCTAGGCTGCACTACATGCTCAGTGACTAAATATGGGACTCTGGTCTCAGAGACCCCTGCAGTTAAAGCCTCCTTCCCAGTGAGGAGTCATTTTCAAACCAAACCCCACTGGTAACATCACACCAAAGAAATCCATCAAGTAGTGATTAAAGCCCTAGGATTTATCCTCACCTTCTGGGTTAGGGACTTGTTGTATTCATGGATCTCTGTCATGGCATCCAGGGTGGGGTTATTGGCCAGTAGGCCACCATCCAAAAACCGCCCGATGGGTCGGAAGTACGTGGGAGCAGCCCCACTGCAGCGGGCAGCCCGCCACACAAGTTGATCTGTGAGAAGATGAGAGAGCTTGGGATTGATGGGCTGACTTCCCGTGTCCCCACATACAGACAGACACACTGCTGACTGGTGAGGCAAGATAGAGTAGATGGGGGGGGAAGAGATCTGAAACTCCAGAGGTTCCACTCATCAATTAGCTCTACCCTCTTTCTTCATAGCACTGTGGGCTTTGCTTGGATTCACTGGGAAATAATGGTGTAAATGATGGCCTCACAATATCCTCCCACCCATCTCCCAACCACCATCACCTTCTTTAAAACTACTGGGCCATATTCATCCCTCCTGGGACTCCACTAGAGCCAGCGGAGTTATGCTGGGAATGAATTAAGGATGTTAAATTCAGATTAATTAACAAATCGAATAGTCAATGGGATTTTCTGCCGGGCTCCTGCTACAGTTCAAAAGCAGAAGCCCCGCAGGGAGCACGGGGCCACTGGGGATCTTGTACATTTCAAAAGCAGAATCACAGCAGATGCAGCGTGAGCAGAAACTGCTTCAGTCCCTGCTTGTGCTGTCTCCCACTGTGCCTCTACCTCTCCTGCCTCCCCGCAGAGACGGTGCTGGGGGGAACCAGCTTTTAAGCTGGCTCCCCGCCAACACTGACTCCTGCTCCACCCTCTCTGATAGAAGTAGCGGGGGGGAGGGGGGGAAGCGACTAATCACATCACTAGTCGACTAGTCGCTTACATCCCTAGAATGAATTTGCCCAATGTATGTAATAGATCCATTCACTAGCCCAGGAGGAATAGAGCTGTCCCTTTGGAACCCGTCATCTATAGACAGAAGCGACAACTCCCGAAAGTTGGGTGGGGCACAATTGAAAGGTTCTGAGGGGGGAGGGACATGACCACCCCACACATCACCTCTGGATTTCGAAGCTGTTGCTAAATGGAAGGCAGACCCTGCTGCAGTGTGGGGGGAGCAGTTTTCCCCTTGACAGAGTCTGTGCTATAAGAGTGGATTCTGCCCAGGGAACAGGCCTAGGGCGTTGGCCTGTAAAGCAGGTGGGGGAAGCAATGGGACTCCAGCATCAAGGAAGGAGAAGCAGCCCCATGTAGTGGTGGGGAGGGTGTGAGGAAGAGGGAGGGTCTCAGCCAGCAGCCACACATCTTGCTGCTTCTCCCCTTTCTGCACTGCACAGACATATAGTGAGTGTCACCCCAAGGGGAGCCTCTGCCTCCTTCCTGCTGGGTGTCCCAGTGAGAGACAGCTCCAAGGCCTTGCCCACCCCCACTGCCTTGTGGGGAAGAGTCTGAAGCACAGGATGTTGCTAAATGGAAGGCAGAAATATGGAGGGGGGGCACATGACTTCATGTGCCCTACCTCCCACACATTGGCTCTGCACATACATCCTGACTCCTTTCTAAAAACCTGGTGGATCTTCCGTACCACTCTTCTCCCACAGAGTGGCTGCTGATTTTGTGGCTCCACGAACATATCCCCTTGTGGCTAGGCTAGCGTGTCACAGCTGATTGCTGCAGGAGAGCAAGAACAGGCAAAGAAGGACAGGGGAGAGGGGAGACTAAGAAACTTCCACTAGGACCAAGCTCTAAGGATTGTTAACTCGAGAATAACCCACTGCCAGGATATACCATTCTGCTCTTATGAGGCGTAATCCACTACCGGGATGTACCATTCTTCAGAGAGAGAGGAGGAGGGGCAAGAATTTCTCTCTGATACGGTACTCTTCTATGCCAGTCACTTGGACCAATGAAAGCATCTACCTTCTGGCTTGGTCAGTGGTTTGAAGGCATCTGCTGTCTTGACATCAGGTTTGTTTTTTGTCACTGGTGCCTTGTAATTCCGGAAGAGGTGGAGCTCAGCAGGTTGCCGGTCACACAGGGTCCCTGTTACCATGACCCTGGGGGAAACAACAGGTTAATGTTAAAACAAACACATCAGCGACCTCCTCCTCCTGATCTGGTCCATGGCCTGGCTGAACATATCACCATGGAGCCTGCCGAAAGGAGGGGAGTGAACAACCACAGCAGAGATTCCCAGCAGAGCGCAGCCCCCCACTGTGACCCACTTGGGTTTCTGGACATCTGTCATTTTGGTGTGCTCTCCAAATTCCTTCTTCAGGAATTCATCCAGGGGCTCCGACTCATAGGGTCGCGACCCTCGGAACACCTCATCCTTCATGCGGAAGTACAGGCAGCGCATGTAGTCCACAGGTTTCCCTGAGACACAGAAAGGGACGAGCTGTAACCAGCCGGCATAGGGAAGCAGACCGAAAACCAGAACCAGCCAAACCCTGGGAATCAGATATCCAACTCCCTAGGATTGGGGGTGGTGTGGCAGCATCACACTCAGCCTCTGCAGTGTGTACCCAGAGCAGGCGTCAAGTGCCCAATCTCCTCCAGCAGGCTGGTTGTTTCGGAAAGCCTTCGCAGAAGGAGGGCAAGTCCAAGGCTGACTCCTCCGAGTTCTCCAGACACTTAGAAAGAGCTAATAAACCAGGTCACAGTCCCTTGAGGGGAGAAGACCAGGAATG